TCTATGGGCGAAGATAACTGGGATATCGCTAAGCGGAGTTCCTTCAAAAATCTCATTCCAAATTTGGTGAAACTTCGACCCGAAATTAGCTAAATTTTGTGTATAGGTAAAATGGACCATAATATCTCTGCTGAAGTCTATCCCGGGTTTATCTTTTTTATTCCATTCTTCGTCTAAGACCTGTTCCCTAAACTCATTGTGTCTATCGCTAAGAAGTAATTTTGTATCTTTTTGCCCAGTTAAAGTCTCATAAAATCTTTGAAAATGTCTTTCTATAAATTTTGGAGGGTATCTATTTAAAAGTAGGGTTATTCTCACTTTCTCAATTTCTTCTTCTAAATTCTCTCGATGGGAACATATTCTTACTGCTCGTAAAAGTGCTGAGAAGGGAATGTTCTTCATAACATGGGGTGGGTGTGCTGAGTTAAAAGGTAAGATATAAGGCTGAGCCGCTAATTTTCTATATACCCTTGTCCGAAAATTTGGAATCTCAACTTCTACTCTAACGTCTAAGTAATCTACATGTGGACCCGTCTCAAAGGTTAACCCTATATTTTTATCCTTTTTACCTAACTCTAATAAAATTTTATCCATTTCTTCCCTGCGTCTCTTAGTAGTTATAAAAATGTCATCCCGGAATCTAAGGTATATCTCTCCCTCTCTCTCCTGCTGTTCCTTAAAGTCTTTCTGCCACTTTCGCATGTATACATCTGCTAAGACTTGGGTGCACTCTGATCCCATGGGTCCTCCTCTAATCTGTTTGTAATACTTAACTCCTTGCCCTGGTAACTGTAAAGCGAAATACGCGTTCTCTAGTACGTGTCTAAATAGGGTTCTAACTGTATTGATGGGTATCTCTCCGTTAACCTTATTTATTCTATTCTCCCCTAACATCTCACCGACTGCTAAGATCGACTCTTGCTGAGGTATCATTGTGTATAAATCTGTTATGTCGAAAGTATACACAAGGGTCTGGTCTGTTGTTCCGTACTTTTTTAAATGTTTTAAAAATCCTATACTATTCGTCAAACTATAAGGGGTCAATTTATCAAAAATGGGTCGGATAATTTTATCGAGAAAAGCCGAGATTTTTTGTGTAGGTGATTTCATCCCTGAAACGATTGGTCTTAGTGGTTCTCCTACCTTATGATCTTTTGGGTTATAGTAAAGATGGGGTAACTCGGCTTCTAGTGGATTTGGTTTCAACTTCTCAAAATACTTTCCGGGTAATAGTTTTCTATTGACTAAATTTCTAAGTAACTCCTCTGTCTTTTCTATCATACTCTCTAGGGGTGACTGTTCTATTTCCTCGTAGGCATCCGTCTTTCTCATATAAGCTATCGACTTCTCAATATATGTCTCAGGCCTGTCTACGTGGAATACCTTTGATTTGTCCGTCTGTCTGAAAATAACCTTTCCTTTTTTTTGTTCCTGTTGAAAACGTTCTAAGGTCTTCTCTACTAACGGGTCTCTTACTATTCTCTCATTTATCTTATTTCTCATCTCGTTTTCTAATCTTGAGGCGAATTTTTCTACTAGACTTGGGTTTCTACCGACTGTTCTCGTTTCTCTTCTCCAGGCTTCGGCTAGTTTCTCTTTCATTACCCTAATCTCATCTTCTAATCTATCTAACGCTTGTTGGGGGTTCTCAGGTACGAATTTTGGCCCGTAATTTAAAATCCTTCTCTCTTCTTCAGTTAGCCCTAAAACCTTATTGTTTACTTGGGGTGGAAATCCTAGAGGTGTAAAATGGGGGTGCAGATTTTTAGCCCTACTATTCCTTTCCTTAGCTCTGACTATTTTTCTACTGTTCTTTTCGCCTTTTTCTCTAAAAAATTCAATTTCTTGTGGACTTTTCTATTGTTTCTAATCTCTAATGTGTGTATCAGGTCTTTATATGCTATTCTTATTTCTACTGGTATTTTTTCTATTATATCTAGATGTTCTTTCTCACTCTTATTTATTTCTGCTACCTTAGCTATTCTCATAATTGATGTTAAATCTAATTTACTCTTCCTTATGATGTTATTCCATTGCTCACTGTACTGGTCTATTACTTCCTTATCTAATTCTTTACTACGGAACTGCAACTTATCCATGACATTCAGTGCTGGTGGTGGCATGTTCTCATTTAATCTACGATCTAACTTATCTAGTTGGAATCTTAACTGTAATGTTCTATCGAATCTTAGTTGCGCTTTCTCGACTAATTCTAGATTCTCTTTATTGCCCTTATTTCTAATCGTTCTTAATGCCTTTTCTTTCATTTGGTCTAATATAAGATTATCTAATCGTTTTTTATTAGATTCTTTTAAGATATCTATCAATGGCTCTACACTATTCTTAACGTACTGTACTATATCTCGATGTTTCTCTTCCTTAAACTGTTTCATAAGTTCTTCTAACTCCTTTTCTTGTTGTTTCATTTTCTTTTCTAAAAATTCTCTATGTGCTATAATATTTTCTATACTAGCATTCAAATGAAAAATCTTAAAATGATATCTACACTCTATCGGTATGATCGGAAAATTAAATAAATTGAAATGATTAAAATCTATATCTTTCGATACGACTGATGGTACGTATATATCTTTATTTATTTCCATATGTTGATCTTGTTCCATATGGTGATCCTCTTTATTTTCTATTCTTATACTAGAATTTGATGTTTCAACTTGAGCATCCTGTATCTCATAGTCATCATTTGTTGTTACAATCTTTGGACTGTGAACAAATCGTTGTGGAAGTGGAATAGGTGTTTTTGGTGTACTCTGTCTTGGACTGAGTACAGGTGGTTCCACTAGGCCTGGTGGTGTTTTCGGCAATTCATTTGTATTAGATTCAATAACAATATCCTGTTGTTGTTGATATCTCTGTGAGGGTACAGGTGGTTTAAATACCCGTGCGAATGGTCTCGGTCCTTTGAGACTTGTATCTATCGGAGTATCTTGTCTTATTGCTTTATTTTCTTTATCTTTATCTTTATTACTATTCTCTGTGACTAATAATATTGGACTACCTGCCGGTGCTCGTGGATCATTTTCTATTGTTGTTTTCTTTTTCTTTTTTGATGTTATTTTCTTCTTTCTTATGCTATTCTCTTTAGTTGTTGTTGTTGTTGTTGTTCTGTCTTTCGATGTTGGTGAAAGACTTGTATCCCTTAATTTTCTTTTCTTTTTTTCATCTTCATTATCTGACTCACTATTATTACTATTACTAGCTTCTTCTCTGTACTCGATGTTACTATTTTCGTTACTTTGACTGTCCGTATCGGTGACAGTCATATTCAATATCGCCGAATATCTTTCTCTAAATGGTCTTGCTTGTGGTATATTTTCTGTGTCAATCATTATAATATCATCTCCATCTTTTTCTGTTTCTATTTCTTTTTTACTAGCTACTTTTTCATAAATTTTCCATTTCTTATTCTCTTCTTCATAATGTCTTTGCTGATAATATAAATTAGCTGCTAAAAATAGTTTTTCTTTTTCTTCTTCTATCTCTTTGGGTGGAGGATTATCTCGGGAAAATTGTTCTTTAGTTCTTAATTTATGTGGATAAAATTTTATTAGAGATCTCGATGGAAAACATGGGTGTCTATTGCTACTTCTTTCTACTTTCTCTATTATCCTGTCTGTTGTGACTATAAAAGGCTGAGTACTATTATTTCTATTATGAGAAGTTGTCACTGACCTTATATAATTTTGTTGCTGTTGTTGTTGATAATAATTTCGGCGATATTGGGTTTGCCGTTGTATTTGATTATTATTATTGTAATTGTTGTTGGGATATAATGTTGTTGTCGTCGTGGGTGTAGTTGGTGTTGTTTGATATCGACGACGCTGAAAATAAGAAGAAGAAAAACGTGCGACAGCACGTGAAGAGAACCATTCACGAAGTGCTCCTTCATATTTCCATTTGCCAGTGGTATTGGATGGATGTAGCCCATCCTCTACACGCATATCCACAAGTCCTAAGCGCGCGTCAACAACATCAAAATCCCATTGCTGGGATAAGATCCGAAGACGCTCATTAAATTGACTATGCATTTGTCCGATGTTGGCCGCGGAGACGAATCTCGTTGGTTTCCATCGTGGTGACAAAGCTAACCAACCAATGGCTCGGTTGCCAGGGAATGACTGTCGAATAAAACTTATGAGCTCACAACATCGCTTCAGAGAAACGTCAACGCCGTACCGCCCCACGTCATTAGTACCCAAACTCAAAACTATTAAGTCCTTATTTCCTACCGTATTTTGACCTTCCGGAGTTTTGAGCCAGTTAATCATACCATAAATATCACATCCGGATTCATAACTTAATTCTACATTATAATCAGGTAATTTTTTAATGGCATACATTCGAAGCCGGGAACACATTGAATCAGATAAGATAATTCCATTTAATGTACGTTTATTATCATTATAAATAATATTTGAATTTGGTGTTGGTGAATGGTGATAATTTCGATGATGTTGTTGATGATAATGAGGACGATTAAATTTCTGTTGATGTTGTTGTTGGTGGACTCGACGGGGTTTGATGGGTAGTGGTGTTGGACGATAATTTGAATGGGAACGTGAGCGGGATCGTGATGGTAATTGTGATAATAAATGGAAGCGGGAACGTGATAATGATCGTGGAAAATGTTGTTGATGATTTGGATGAAATTGTTGGGCTTGGTGGTAGGTGCGTGTATGGTGGCGTGGTGGTAAATGGAAGGGGTTGATGGATAATAATGATGGTAAGTTGTTGGTGTTAATGTTGAAACTTTGATGAGGATAATGATGGTGGTTATAATATTGGTGGTGTGGATGATGATTATGTTGGTGGTAATAGGGTGATGATGATGTTGGTGGTGGATGACGACGTGGTGCTGGTCGAGGTGGGATGATGGTTTGAGGAAAGCCGGTAATATTTGTATATCCATTAAATGTTGTTGTTGTTCCTGTTTGAAATCTCTTGAAATGATTAAATTTTCGTTGACCAGCACCGTAAAGAGATGGTTTTCGTGGAATTTGTTGGACTAAATGGTGGTATGTTGGTGGAATATTTGGTGATGGAATGTTTGATGATAAGTATGATGGTCGAAGAGGTGGAATGTTGATGTTGGGAAGATTTGATGATGCTGCTGATGAGTATGATGTTGTTGTAGGTGGTAAGATGGTAATTGAAGACATTGTTAATTCTGTTTCGTCAACTGAGAAAAATGGTGATGGTTGAACTAATTAAGTGTGGGTGTGAATTTAGATTTAAAGCGAATTAACAATGGTGTAAAGAAATGGAGCAAAAAACCGAACAAATAAGAAATAAATAAATAAATAAATAAATATATAGATAAGTGAGTAAATATATGAATAAATTAAATAAATTTTGTTTTTTTGTATTTCTAATTTTATATTATTATTTTTTTGTGAATTTTAAGCTGGGTGTGGGTGTGGGTGTGGGTGTGGGTGTGATTGAAATAAATAAGCGAATTAACAATGATAATGTGTGATTTAGATGGCAGGTAAGTATATAAATAAAGAAAAATATATATTTTAGTGAATGAATAAGTAAATATTAAGAAAAAAATTGTTTTTTTATTAGTTTTATGTTTATAAATTTTTTTGTATAATTTTTAGTTTGTTTTTATTTGTTTTTTAGAATTGAAAAAAGAGTTATCTACTTTTTGAACTTTTTAGAGTATTGAAGAAAAGATAAAATAAATAAATAAGTGAACTTGAATGAATTTCAAGTGAAAAACGAAAAATTTGGTTTAAGTGAAAGAAAATGAATGAATGAATTTGATTAAATTCTTTTTAAGAAAAATCGGGCAGAGGTTTAGTGTTTTTTGAGTTTAAGTGAAAGAAGATGAATAAATTTATTTAAGTAAATTTTTAAGAAAAATCGGGCAGAGGTTTAGTGTTTTTTGAATATTTTAAGAAATAAATAAATGAATAAATAAATAAATAAATGAATAAGTTTGAGCAAAGAAAAATGAGTTTTATTTAAAGAAAAAATTGAATTTTTGAGCAGAG